ATGCCGAGCTGCGGCGTGTCATGGGCATCCTGGGGAAGATGGAGAAGGAGATGCAGGAGGTGCAAGGGAAGCTCAACAACAGCGAGAACACTGTGGCCATCCTGCGCTCCTGCACATCTATAGGTAGGGCGATGGTGGAGCAGGGATGGAGTGCCCCAGGGGACTGGCACCCCTCAGCAGGTGCAGTGCCAAAGCATGAGCACTGATTTTTTTGGCCACATGGTGGGGACAGGGTGGTCCAAAGGCTGAAGCTATGCCTGGAGCAGCGGCTGAGCCTGTGATGTCTGCTGGGAAGATGTGGGTCTGTCCCCAGTCTCTGCCAGGGCTTCTGTGGCTAAGCAAGCACCTGAACTTGCACCCCTGCCCCCAGATTGCTGCCCTTCGGGCTGGCTGCTGTACAGGGGCAAGTGCCTCTTCATCTCGTCGGAGAAGAAGACATGGGAGGACAGCAGAGATGAGTGCGAGAAGAAATATTCTCAGCTCCTGGTCACCAAATCCTGGAGTCGCTGGACCGTGCCGGTAGGGTGCTGGGGGAGCTGAGGGCTGGAGCTGGTAAATCCAGCCCTGGGCTCCCCAGGTGGGCCAGCACCACTCTGGGGGTCCCTGGCCTGCTGAAACATTGGAGGGTGCAAGGCTGATCTTTGGAGCACGTGGCTGGTGGTGGACACGGGGCAGAGAGGCTCTGGCACCCTTGGATGCTGCCCAAGCTGGAGCAGGGAACCAGAGCTGCTCAGCTGTCCTGCCCTAAGGAGCTCCAGCCCCAGGGGCTCCTTGGGGAGACGACCACCCCCTGCAAACACTGCAGCACATAGGTACTATGGAAAAGCCCCTAAAAGGCCCTTTTTCTCCTTTCCCAGACCTTCTTGAAGAATGCGGACATCCCATACTGGATCGGGCTGCAAAAGAGCAGCTTCCCCTGGTACGATTATGGCTGGCTGGAGGAAGAGGATGGCGAGGGGGTCTCGGACGCCTGGTTCTGGGTGGATGGCTCCCTTTACGAAAGGTACCCGGCAGCACAGCCTCTTGCTGAAACCCCCTCTCTTCCAGCACAGCTTTAGGAAGCGTTTTAAATCCCACTGGTACCCAGTCCTAGGCACAAGCACTGGGCAACAAAAAGCATCAAAGCAGCTGAGGCTGAGGGGAGGTGGGTGCAGTGGTGTGATGAGATGCTTAGAGGCTGTGCAAACGGAAAGCCGAGGCTTGGGGGGCCATGTGCAGGGCATGCGCAAGCAGGAGGCAGCGAGAGGGGACAAAAGAAACCGCAAGTTTTATTTGGGGTCTAGAGAAAGCGTTCGAGCACCACATCTATCCCTCACGTGCCTCTCTGGTCCCTCCTCGAGGGGAAAAAAAGCCTTCCGTTCTGCAGAGGGTCCCGGGCTCCTCCCCACCACGTGCACCTCTTCCCCAGCTCGCCACTGCTTCCTCTTGCGGTGTCTGAGAGCAGCGGGGAGGAACAGACCCGTCTGGCCGGGTGCTGGGTACCCAACCCCTGCCCACTGCTGCCCCTCCATCCTTAGCCCCACCGTGGGGGGCTGCACCCCACCACGGCCCCATGGCCCAGGGCAGCTCCTCTGGCAATCCACATGCCTTCAGGGAGGACCGGGCTCTCCCCGCTGCCAGGCGCTGCAGGGGTGAGATATCCCCCAGCAGCGAGGCTGAGATTCAAGCAGGGGGGAGGCTAAGAGGAGTCGCAAGCTATGCAAACCTTTTGCAGAGGGGTTTCTCAGTCTGCCTGAGGAAGGGCAGGGATGCATCGGCTGAGGCTTCAGCCTGTGAAATCAGAAAGGGACGACTGGGGGATCCCCCCTTTGACTGCAGCATTCAACCCCTCCTGTGTAAGCGTACAAGAGGCAGCCGTCAGCAGCCATGGCTGCCTCGGCAGGGGGTAGCAGGGCAGTGGCAGCCCCCTGATGTGTCGTTTCCCCATCCAGGCCGTGGCAGTCGAAGTCGAATGGGTCCTGTGCCATAATAAGCCGTGGGAACATCAAACCTGCCCAGTGCACCAGTCCTGACGACCTGCACCTCTGGATCTGCGAGAAGGCGGCAGGGCCAAGCTCCCCTTTCATGCCATGATGGCCACTGACCCCAGCACTGCTGCGGTGAGTGTGTCCACGCCAGGGTCTGCCAAGCCCTGGGGTGCACGGGGCCTGTGGGGTGTGTGAGGAGGAAAGTGGGGAGCCTGGGCATCTGTGTGGGGCATGCTGACCCCTTCCGTTGGAAAGGGAGAGGGATGCAGGCACCTCCCTGTGCTGGATAGCGCCTGCCTCCATCCCTTTGCTGCCATGGGAGCCCCTGGTCTGCGGTAGCTCAAGAGTCGCCCCCAAGCTGTAGGGCAGCAAAGGGGCAAGATGGGGGAAACCCCTTTGCAAGCTGCCTTCCCAGCCCCGCTGCGTGTGGTGGAGGCTGGGCAGCACCTCACCCCCTGCCTTCCCTTGCAGCACCTGCACCCCGCACCGCCTCCGCTTCAGCCTTGCTGTACCCCTGCCTGGGATGTCCCATCCGTGCAGGCAACCCCCTTCCCTCTCACAGACCCCCGCCCACGGGCTGCCCAGGTCCTTCTCAGCGATGCCCAGTGATGCTCCGGCATCACGCAGACTGGGGGAGGCGGCGGCAGTGGCCGTTTCCCCCCCGCTGATGTGCTTCAGCAGAGCGGTACGGGTCCCACGGCTCAGCCCCACACCTGCGTGGGGTACGCTGTGTCTTCCTGAGCACAGGGGCTGGCGTGCAATGGGCAGCCCGGACCCAGCCACAGGGCGCAGCAAGGCGTGATGCTCAGCACCGCAGCCATGCAACGTCCCCAGCACGGAGCGAGCTGCAGTGCTGGCATGCAAGGACGTGGGAGTGGGGGACGGCACAGCCCCACACCTGGCCAGGTCCCCTCCCCACAGCAGGAGCTTTGCACCTGGCCCCATCCCAGGAGCAGCTTGGCCACAGCTTTCAGGCAACCCAGCAAACAACAGCCTCAGCAAAGCCTCAGCGCCCAAAGAGGGAAGCTGCACCTGAACTGGCCGGTACCTGTGCTGGCGGTTGGGTTTTTTTGCTAATTAGAAAGTAGAGCAATGACCTTAAGGATTGTACAATGCGATGGTGCCTTTCAAAAGCAAAAGCAACTCTGGCACTTGCAGTGGACTGATGCTTTGCGAGACAAGTCATCAGGACTTTAAATAGTTACTACACACGTGCACATGCGAAGATTAAGCAAAATAGCCCTGATGTAACATTGCAGCCAGGCAAGAGCAGAGGAAGTCATGTTCAACCAGGCGAAGATGTTCTCAGTTTATTATGGGGTCGTGTGTGCCATATATAGTTAATTGCTATGTGAATTAGCTTGCTTGAAGAGCAAAAGGGCGTTTAAAGGCAGGCTTTTCGGAGGTGGCACGTGTCATTCCTCTGTCTTGTCCGCTTGCTGAACTCACTCTGTAGCAATAAAGAGACGTAGCTTGTCTGCTCTTTGCTTTCTTGTGTACCACCACAAACACGGACTCAAGGGCATGAACCCAAAGAACCTAAATAATAAATGGGAATTTGGCTGAAGCCATTTCAACCAAGATGGCCACTTTGGGGGCAATGAGATGGCTGAGCCAGGCTGGCTTGTGGTTCCCAAGGGGGTTCCCAGGAGCCCCAGACAAGCCCGTGCAACCTTCTGGGGCTGGGCTCCCCTCCACATCCGACATGCATCCAAGAGACAGAAGTGGCAGCCCGAGCTGCTGGGACATTCAGATTTTATTGAACACTTTAAATAAGCTGGGTATATATTACTAGCAATTATTATTATTAATAATAAAAAACACAAGAGTTCTGCATTCACCAGTGCATTGTGCGGGAGGGAGGAAAGCCGGCTCCCACCCTTGCCAGGTGCCAGGCAGCCCGGCCGTGCTGTCCACCGGCCCCTTCCCCCCAGTGCCAGGATAGCACCCTGGCCCCTCTGCCAGCACCCCGTTCCCGACCCCGTGTGCTGGGCGGACACGGGGTGCCGTGCCGGCTCAGCACCCAGCCCTCAGCGTTGGGTGGGCAGGGGCAACCCCAGTGCTGGCAATCCTCCCCGAGCACTGCCCCACGGGCACCACCCCTCTCCCGGCCCCCTGCACACCTCTCCCTGTGTCAGGGACTGGCTGTGCTCCCCACGCTTGTGGGGAAGCACGGGGACACCCACCAGCCCCACAGCGTCCCCCAAAAAACACATACACACACTGACCCCTCTGCCCTCAGCCCAGCCCCGCTCCCCCCCTGGCCTGGTGGGCTGCGGGGGGCTCCTAGTTCTCCCGGGAGAGCAGGCTCATTGCACACCCCTCTGTGAGAGTCCAGAGAGGGGTGAGCCCTTGGGGAAGGAGGGTCCCGCATCCAGGGTTTGAACCCCAGGAGCCCCATGGGAGACCAGCCGTGCTGCCCAGGGCAGTGCTGGAACATGCCCGGGGCCGGGGCGTTATTGCACTTCAGTCCTTGGCAGGGACCCAGCCCACCCCCGGGGCTCCCCGCAGACCCCTCAGGCTGATCCCGGCGGGACAGGTGCCCAAGCGCCTGGGCAGCGCCATGGTGGCCACGGCATGGGGCACCGTGGGC